CCGAGTGCCCCGCCAGCTCCCCGCGCCCCGCTCGGCAGCCGCTGCACGGTCCGCAGGGAAGCGCAACTATTCCTGTCCACAGACGGAGAACTGCCCCGCGCACAACCGCGACTTGCTTCGGGAGATACGGGAAACCTGCAGTGGAACAGGAAACGGAACTGAAATGGTGTCGTACCGTCCAAATCACCACTGGACCGGTTTTCCTTACAGATGGGGACAATAATAACTTTCTCCCCTGCAAACTCCACTTGTAAATCTGCTCCAGTATTCAGTGCCAGCGACACGAGAAGAAATTGCAATACACTTATCTCTACAAACCATTCCTGTATTCTTATGTTCCCTATCACTTCTCCTTAGAGAAAGAAAAAGAAGAAACACCGCTGAGTGTACGATGTACAATAAAAGTGCACGTTAAATGGAATGTGTCCTCTGGACTGCAGTACGCCACACAGATAGCAGCTGCATCATTTAATCTGGACTGCTTATACCACGTAGTAGTAAGTCTCTTACAAAGAAAGTAATAATTGGAACAACTTCTTACCTAGAACTGCTCAACTGTGAAGTGCTTATAAGGGCAGTATGAGTATCTCCCACTTACAAGTGGGAAAGCTGAGGTGCAGAATTTTGACCCCAGGTCACCTGGCAGACCAGTGGTGAAACTGGAGGAGGAGACAGGTCTCACAGGTCCTGCTCCTGTGCTCTACACCACAGGCACTTTAAATCCATCCTACTCACAGGCCCTCTGCACGGCTCCAAAATAATAATTTAAAAAAAAAAACTTGCATCCTTCCCTGCAGTATCTATTCCCATACAGTAAGAAAAATTTACATACAAATTAACAGTAAGCCAGAACTAGATTCAGATTATAAACCAAATACGTAAAATGAAATCTCTGGTAATATACTTGGTCTTTTCACTACCATGCAACTTTAAAAAACAGTATTCATTTTTGAGCATACATATTCTTCTTTCGCAACACAGCTGTCAGCACGTTTACCAGCAAGTACGTATTCGCCATACATACATCAATACATATTTTCAAAATCGCTGTTACGGTAACAATTAGAAGGGAATACGTCTAGAAAAAGTAAATCATCCTCAGTACTTCAAATTTAGGTTTAGCCACATTTCTTCGGGAGATTTCTGTTCGTTGTCAGTATCTGTCCAAACAGGTGCCATCAATAAGGCAAAGGTGTCATGTTTTGATTCTAAAACCTGTCTTTGGTGTGATGAGCTTAGAGGTGAAACTAGAAATGAAACTTTATGCTATGAATCATGCAATACACCACAAAGAAATAAATTGATGGGAGTCAGAATTTTTTTTCCTCTCATTATATTCAAAAGGTTTGGTCGTTGAAGAAATTTGTAGTAGGAAAAATAATTTCTTTGTCTACACTAAGCTAGTGAAGGCTCTCATTCTTCCCAATATAGCAGATAAGAAGTCTAAAATTAAACAATGATCCATACTATTGCATATACAAAGATGGACCTAAAGTAATTTCTTTTGGGTATATATGAAAGAAAAAGGGGAAAAAATACACGAAAACAGAAAGCAAACATACAACACTATGGAAAATGCAACAACAGAAAGCAGCAACGGAACTTACTTTACCTCTTGCATATGAAGGGAAATACAGCTTTTTATTTGTTTTAAATGAGAGAGAATATTTCATTTTAAAGTACTAGTAACCTGACTCAGAAGTGTCATAGGAATATTATCCGAGCACTCAGAAGTCTGCTGATTTGTCAAAGTGCCAACACATCATTTCTGCACTATACAAAAAGCTCTACGTTTAACAGTTACCCACTACCCACACGACCTTCTCTCCAACAGATAAAACTAAAGGACAAAAAGGTAATTTTTCCTTATCTTGTTTACATTCTAGTCGATCTTGTCTCAGAACAGATTGCACTCACTGTTAAAAAAAAAGGGCAAGAGAGACAAGAACCGCCATCTTCCCGAGCTCCAGGCAGACCGTGGTTTCCGTCTCAGAGCCACCCCGCAGCGGGAAGGCCCCGAGGCCGAGTCGTGGCCGGGCAGCCACCCGGCGC